GGGGGTTGTGTAGAAGGTTGCGCTCAGATTCCCCTTTGAGGGGGTAAGGGATGTGAGGGGTTAAGGTTATTGGGCCCTGAACAGGCTCAGTAGTTTTAGGAAACTCCCGGTGCAAGTTCTTGCTCCAGAGCTCCTGTACCAAATCTGTACCCTTCTGGGTGGATTGAAAAAACATTCTGCTGTAAAAGCATGGTCGGAAGTTTGGAAGGAGGTCTCCGCAACTCTAAGGGCATCCAAAACTGAACTTTTTTTGAGCACTTCAGTGGATACTAAATCTAAGGTTGAAACTATGGTCCCCTAGTATGGGCCCTTAACCCGGGGATCCGTATATGCCTACTATATACCCTATATGCAGCCTTAAGGGTCCACACAATCCCCCTAAAAGGCCTAAGGGCCCATATTAGGGGTCCACCCTTTTAGCCTTGGACTAAACATGTTGCGTGCCCCTGGAGTGCTTGGCATCTTCTGAGTATGAGTATAACAGTTTACTAAAGTCATGCGGGGTTTGTCGTACCAACAGCATTGACTTTGTGTACATGAACTTTAAACCCTAAACTCTAAAGCTTAAACCCTAAACCCTAAAACCTCAACCCTACACCCTAAACCACCCTCATCCTAAAGCCTAATCCTAAGCTCTAAGCCATCGACAGAGGTGGAAGTGCCAACAGAAGAGCTGGCAGACATGGTCGCAAAAGCCTGGGCCTGAAATTGCACCTGGAAGGTGGCCCAAAATTATAGTTAGGGTTTAGGTTTAGGGTTTGGGGTTTAGGGTTTGGGGTTTAGTCCGTTTTCTGGGCCCCCATGATCATTCTACTACAGTTCCCTACTACTTGGGGTGCCCCAAAGGGAGTTATAGCTTTGATGATTCCGCATCTTGTCATGAGAAGGAGGTAAACAGTGCCAACGTGGGCCTTTGCGGGATGTCAGGGAGGGGGCTGCAGCCACCCGGCCTAAGGGTTTCCCGAAAACCTAAGCCCTAAGTAGTAGGTTCCATTTCCTTATCCATTTTCCCTATATAACACCCGTTTAGTTGCGTATTTGCAAAGGACTGCAACGCACACGTAGTTCCGCATCTGGCCCCAACCTGACATGATTGGAATCGCCCATGATATCCACCCGTAGGGTTTAGGGGTTTAGGGTTAAGTTTAGGCCACCCATAGTAGGACTACCCGTGCGTGGAAGGACCTGCAAAATTCGCTATCAACCTCCAAGTGGGAAGACATCTTTGAACCCGAAACCTGAAACCTTGAACCCTGCACCCCCAAACCCTGGACCCCAATCCCAAAACACTAAAGTCCCCCAAACCCTACCGCTACAGCCGCAAAAGTTGTTAAAGATATTCAACACCCCCTGACCATCCCGAAGCCCACACCTCACCCCTAAATCCTAACCCCTTACAAACCCTAAATAACCCTTGTACCCCTGCATCTCCTATATCCTCTTATATACCCTTAAATCCCATATATACTCCCTAAAGCCTAAACCCCAAACCCTAAAACCCAGGCCTTGCTAATGCATGCGGCCATGCACTGTGCTGGGGATGAGCCTGATGAGAAAGGCTTCTCCATGGCAGGCCTCACCCTACCGGATGTAGGGGTTTAGGGTTTAGGGTTTAAGGGTTTAGGGTTTAAGGGTTTAGGGTTTAAGGGTTTAGGGTTTAAGGGTTTAGGGGCTGCAGGAGATAAGGGTTATGGGTTTCTATAAAGGCATAAATTGACATATAGGGGATAATATCGAGCTTCGAGTTGGGGTTATACTGGTTTTAGGGATTAGTTTTAGTTTCATTTTTTTTGTTGGCTTGTGATTGTGCAAGAGTTCCTAGTACTGCGCATTTTGTCAGATGTGGGCTATACTATATACCAGGCAGGACTAATCTTCTGTTTAAAAGCCGTAAAAGCGATGACAGTTCAGAGAGCCTTTAGTCCCTGGCGAGATCCCATACCATCCCATGTGAGCCATACAACCTAAACTCCTTAAAGGGAGGTTATATGGGGTTTTCTATAGGAGACAACTATGTGGGATATTTAGGGGATACTAGGAGTTTAGACTATGGCACAAGTCATTCTGATATACTGAATCCTGCCTCCACCCAGAAGCCTTTGGATCGTTTCTTGATATGAAGATATTCCTCAGTAGTACCCTATTATGGACTGTCACTGGATGCCAGTCCCCAACCTGTGTATGGCAAGGTAATTAAACCCAAAACCTTGAAACCCTAAACCGTAGATCTTGAAGGCTTCACGGTGGCATAAGGCTTGCAGCACTAAGACAAGCATGCGGCGGCGTGCCTAAACCCCGATCCCACAGCAGCTCGTACAATGAATGCAGGTGAAGCGACACCAGCAAGGCAGACCTCCGACCCTGCGCGGCTCTTGAGGATCCATGCAGCGGCCTGTCGAGATATTATGGAGGAACTCCCCAAATTAGTGGGAATACAGGGATAATGGAGAAGAACATGGAAGATCATGGAAGCTACTATTTAAGGTTTAGGGCTTTCCAGAACTAGGGGTACCAGTTTGGGGATCCCAATAATATGGATCATAGTATTTGGGGTCTATGTTGGAGTCCCCTGCTCTGGAAAACTACCATGTCTGGCATTTTAAACGCTGAAATGATCTGTGGCCGGGGCTATGTAGGGATTGTGAGGGAGTGCAGGGTCATCGGGGTTCTGTTGCAGATGCAGTGTCAAACATGTTCTCCCCTCCTTCCTTACAAATACTCTTTGTCGCCAAACTGCTATGTGTGCTCATGCTCTGCCTTCGAGCAACAGTTTGTAAGAGTTCACCATGTGGGTGGTTGTCAAAATTATGGTCCCTTTTGGGTCCCTTTTATAATACTGAAGGTACCAAGGTGTCCTGCTTTCCTGGCCTTGACTTCATACCCACATATCCCGTGCCATCATTCCCTGAGGCATTGCGGCAAGAGCTCATGCAAGGCATCCGGATCGGAAACAATGTGCAAATTCGATCGGCTCTGAATCGAGGCCGGGGCATCTCTGCAACGTTTTTTGCCTTCAAGTGAAGTGGCACACCGTCATGACGCTTGTTGTCATCGTTCGGTTGCAGACACCGCGAGCTGCAAACTTGGGCATAGATAGTATAGTATACTATAGTGTAGTATAACATATTAATATAGAATGATATACTATGTTATGGTATAATATCTTCGCGGCAAGCGCTGCTGTCATGCAGGAGCCTCACTCTCGGCACACTATTACTCTACCAGGATGCCAGCGAGGCCCATCAGGCTAGTGTAGACCCATGATTAATGGGGTTATATGGGGATAATGGAAAAATGGCAACTACTATAGTGGGGTTTTATACATATATACATATATATATATATGTGTAAACATCCGTCTGAAACCAGGGCTTGTTGCAAGAGTTCGACTTGCAAGTTGAGGTTGCAGGGCAGATGCATTGAGTTTACCGCGCCTTTGTTGCATGGGGTAAAACTTTGGCAAAGGCGCTGTGGGCATGTGTAGAAAATGCCATAGTCGTGAAACGTTTAACTTTGCACCCGCGCCGTTTCGGGATTGTCGCCGGCTAAACATGTGAGCATCCGCCATCCAACCCAGTCAACACCACGTGGAGCTGCTCAATCAGGTGCTTCCAGTGACAGGCTTACTAATCACAGTAATAAAAGATAAGTGCAATAACCATAGTAATAATGCTAACACTAATAATAATAGTGATAGCAGTAGTAATTAATAGTACTACTAAAAATAGTAATGACAATAGTAAACTAGTGTCAGGAGAATAGGAATGATCGCTCTCAGCAACGCCCATTGCAGGCCTTCCGTACCGCTACATGGGACGCCAAAGGGTCCGAAGACGAGCTTGGTGAATCTTGGTTTAGGCTTCGTGGCTCAGGGTGTAACATTTGGAGTTTATGAGGTTGGGTTTAGGGTTGCGCCTAACCCTATACCCTTGTAAGCCCCTTTTACTTTTGGAAGTTTGTGCCTTTCAGTACACATCTGACTCTACGCTACTTGTACCAAAGCTGCGAGGATCCTTGCAAGCAGCCCTAAACCATCAAGCCTAATCCCTTAACCCAAGTCCCGAGGGTAAAATGAAATCCAGCCCTAAACCCCAAACCCTAAACCCCAAACCCTGAACTCCAAACCCTAAACCCTAAACCTCAAACCCTAAACCCTCAAGCCCTGAAACTCGAAGCTCTGCAAAAACAGCGGCCCAGGAATCCTGTGGACTGGGCCGTGCTGGAGGGGAGGTACAAGGATCAACACCCTTAAGTAAGGCTATATTAGGGTTATATATTGGGGTTATATTAGGGTTATATATTTGGGTTATATTAGGGTTATATATATATATATATTTGGGTTACATATTGGGGTTATGTTAGGGTTATATTCAGGTTATATTGGGATAATGGAAAATGGAATGGAAACCAACAACCCACCGGATGGGTTTGACACAAGTTTAGGGCTTTAGGGCCTTGCCCCGGTTGGGCAGGGGGCTCATTCTTCAGTGCCTTGTTGCGCAGCATCTTGTGGTACCTTGTACGTGATCCTTGCGGCTCCTAAGTATATCTGTTTGCACAGGTTACCCCCTCAATGGGCCTTATACCTACGCCAGAAACACGAATCCCTAAACCCAAGTCCCAAATCCACAAGCCCCGAACCTTAGCAGCCTTAAGCCCCATGTGGCCCATATGTTCACATGTATATATAATATATCTATGTGTACATCTCCCAGTAGATAAATACATATATATATATGTATATGTATATATATATACACATATTCTATACATGTCTATATATATATATGTGTACGTAGATATATATATATATGAATGTAG